AGATGCAAATAAAGGGGCAAGACACGAGGCGGGGGGGGGGGGCCAATTCTTGGGTGGGGGGCAACGGACAAGGACGGGCCAAAGAGAGGCAGAGAGCGGGAGCCGGAAGCAACGTCATCGGGAACCCGGCGATCGATGAGGGAGGAAACACATTTGCATCAGGGCGCAATCCTAGCCCCACCTACCTGGACCTGGCCCAGGGCAAGCAAGACGTGGCTGCTTTCCGGCCAAGGTTCTCGGTCTCCCAGGTCAGCCCGGATCACCGGCACCCGTGGCAAATGTCCGAATCATCGGTCCAAGTCCTGGCTGCTGGCTGCCTGGTGTCGAGCCCGGGCCTGTAAGGAGAGGGCCAAGACGGATTGCCCCAATCTCTTGTGTCGGGGCTGGGGGGGGGGGCGGGGAGCTGGGGGCGGGGAGGAAGGGGCCCGAGGCAATGTCCGCCCAGGAGACGGACAAAGATCCCCTTGCCGATGCACGATATACGCCCGCACGGGCGCGCCCCAGGGGAGCCGGATTGATGGGGCCGACACGAAGGGCCGCCCCTCCGCCCGTGCCAGGCAGCAGGGGGGGGGGGAAGGTTGGCACCAGGCGCCCCGCGCCCCCGGGGCAGAGCCGAATAATAATTCACGCTATTGCGCCCTGTGGGAACAGGACCCCAGCCCGGTGCGGATGAAACCCAGGGTCGTGAGCGCCGGCGCCGGTGGGCTTGCCCCGGGGTCCATGTCGCCGACACGCGGCCACGCCCGGGCCCGGGTGAAGGGGCTGGGAGAGGCTGGGGCGTCCCCCGAGCAGGGGGGATCGCCTTCAGAGAGTGCCTCTCTGTGCCCCGGCCCCGAACAGGCCGCCCAACAGACGGGGACATTTTTTCCGGCGGTGTCACACCAGAGCGGGCGAGGGCGCGGGGGCGTCAGGGAGAGAGGCACACTCGAAATGGAAAATGCACAGCGACCCCCCCCCCCCCCCCCGCGGTAATAGGTTCCCTTGAGGAGGGAGAAACAACCGGAACTGCTCGCCCGCCCGAGTGTTCGCCCGACGCCTCATGCCCATTCCCTCGCCCCTGAAGGAGCAGAGCCACACACGCTCACCCCCCTCTTCGCCAGCCGGTGGCCGGAACCGGGGCCGGGGGAATCCCCAAGGACCGGAGGAGGGAAAGGGCGGAGGCCAGCCCGGGGCGCTCTGGTGGGCTGGCACCCGCGGGTACGGCGGGGCATTTTTGGGCATCCCCCCCCCCCCCAGGGCAGCACCAAGGTAGCGGCG